CTCAAATCGTACACAGTACATCTGTCTAGCATCGTGCAAAATCGTTTCCTCTTATACACACGCAATCCGGAGATACAGACTAAAACGTACGACACGATTTTCCCTTCTGTTGGCAGCCAAATCGATGCATTGGGAAAGTCATTTGAAACAAAAGGCAGCTACTAACGCTCGGCGATGCGGTGTGACTCGCTGGGAGATTGGACATCGACGCAACCCTCGGCGAGATAATCTTTGACCCGGCATACCGGCACACCGGCATACAGCTGGTTGCTGGTATGCTCCCCACGCACGCACGCCCACCGCAATCAGCAGCAATCTCCCAGCGAGCCACACCGCATCGCCGAGCGTTAGTAGCTGCCTTTTGTTTCAAATGACTTTCCCAACGCATCGATTTGGCTGCCAACAGAATGGAAAATCGTGTCGTACGTTTTAGTCTGTATCTCCGGATTGCGGGTGTATAAGAGGAAACGATTTCGCACGATGCTAGGCTGATGTACTGTGTACGATTTGAGTAGTAAATCGTAGGTATTTTAAGGCTAGTAAATGACGAATTTCCCTTGTTTATTGATGTCACACTCCTTCTCTATTATTAACTCTTGATATATATATATATCACAATTCAAGTATATCAGATGAATTTTGCTTTCAGTTCAAGACTCATTCTTACCAATAGTCACGTCTTGCTGCATCCATTGTTTTAGGTCAGTCATTTGTGTAACTATGTTTTTCAGCTGACGATTCACCTATGGATAGTTAAAAACTATATGGTATTACAGATCAAATGATAAATACCTTATGTTACTATTAAATATTAATATTAGAAACACAAATGATTAACTGCAACATAACTTTTTCCATAACAGCTGAAATGTGATTTAAAATCTAATACATGTCAAGAATGCATTGGATACAAACCTGAACATCTTTAGCATATGCAGGACAACCACAGACTGGACAGCTATTCCCAATGTGTGGCTCAATACATTTACTGAAACAAATACAGCATAGGAAAAGATTAAAATTGAAATCCACTACAGTATTTGCAAATAAAAAATTTATTCAACCAATTTTCTGTTACATTCATAAATATTTTACTCTGGGATGACATGTTCTTTTATGCAAAATATAACATTTCCATAATCAATTATTTTTTATTTTTAACTTTACAAAGTTAAACAGAAGCCAATAACTTCACGATATAGTATGCACAATATTTAGTGTGCCTAACGGTACAAAATATTGTAATACATAACAGCAAATAGAAAGAAGGTTACCTGCAGAAAAAATGCTCACACCCTCCAAGAGATGTAGGAGATTGCACCACACCATGACTGAAAAATCCAAATTTCCTACAGATTATATTAAGGCACATGCAAGCCACAGTAGCTCGGGTCTACTTTAGGACTGCCGTAAACAGATCATCGCGATCATCATCAACATCACCATGATCATCATCACCATCTTCATGATCATCATCAACATCATCATGATCATCATCAACATCTTCATGATCATCATCATCATCATGATGATTCATGATTGATCATCAACATCATCATGATTATCATCAACGTCATCATGATTATCATTCAACATCATCATGGTGATCATCATCATGATTATTATTATTATTCAGCAACCTAATCTGATCATGAGATCCTTAAACCTGAAAAGGTCATTATACCTAAGCACCAAGTACAACAATATACAAGTTACAAACAATCTTGAAACAATGTTTGTCATTTTTACTTGGTGA